TGATGGGCATGGCAGGCGCTCGCTCGCTTCTCTCTCGCTCCCTTGCTTGCTCCCTCACACACGCACGGAGGGAGGCGAAGCCGGCAGCAGCCACTTCCCAACTTTCCAAACTTCCCAGTGCAACTTTTTCCTCTCCTCCCCTGCCCGCGCCTCCTCCTCCATCCCTCCCCCTTCCCTGGCCAGCTCCTCGCCAGGCCGTCGCTTCGCGCGCAACCACCAGAGGGCGCCCAGGCCGAGACCTCGTGCTGGGCCGGCTGGTTCTGTGGTGGACGGGGACAGGGGTGCCGCGCAGTTCCTGGCATGAATGAACGCTGAAGGGGTCGGGGTGGCCAGAGCGCTCCCCAACTGGCAGCTGTGCCTCTGGGAAGGGCGCACTCACCAGAAACTTAGGAAAGTTGGATTCCTATCACTTCACTGTGCCTAGCTCAGTAATGCTCTTCGAGGGCACCCAGTGAGCACTAGCGGAATTATAGTAAATGACCCAACAGTGGAAAAAAAGTTGTTCTCAACATTTCTGGGAACATTCCATTATAAGAAAGCCTTTTCGTCTGTTTCATTGGATTCACCCAGGATAGCTCTGAGTGGTCCAAGAAAGATAAAAATTTGTACTTCACTTTCTTCGACCAAAGAAGCCCTGGTGGCACAATTTTTAGCACTTCAAAGCTTAAGGTTGTATCGACCAGCTCTCCCTGGGAGAAATATGTGACAGTACTCCTATGTAAAGAATATAGCCATGGAGCCCTTTGTGGCAGTTCTGCTCCGCCTTTAACCAACGGACCCCTAGCTGACCCATCAGGTTTTCAAAGGCAGTAAATCCCAAGGAAGAGATAGCCCATCGTTCTCCCCGTGCAAAGCAGCTGGTGAATATGAACCTCAAGCCCTTGAGATGAGATGGGAGCCTGGCTCCTTACCACGAGGCCGCCAGAGCTCCCAATACAGGTCGCTGGGAGATGGAATCAACTTGATGGCGATGGATTTTGTTGAGTTTTGGTTCGATTTGGGGTTTTGTTTGTTAGTGTTAGTTCACAGGAACTGAAAGAACTAAAAAAAAACTGCCCAGCTCTCATTCTGTTCAGAACGTTAAAGAATGCTTATGGAAGGTCAGGACCAAAGCACATAGCTTTGGCACCGGGTGGAGCTGCTCGAGAAATGGCAGCTCTAGAGGTCAAATGAAGACCGGCTGTGCTGGAAAGGACAGAAATGTTTCCCAGGGCAGAGGCAGCTGATCTGGCTGGCATTTGAAGGAAACACAAGATGGAAAAGAAGGGATTCCTATACTGGACCACCTGAACCACATAAAGTTACCATTCTGTAATTGAAAGACAATTTTGTATGGTTCGCTCTGCTAGATATCCAGGCACACTTAGCTTCTCAGTCTCTTACCCATGCACACTCTACAACAGATTCAGGGTGCCCAGAGCATACCCAAGAACAGGGTAGCCTCAAGATTTCGCTCACAGAGCACTGAGAACCACAGCCATAACTTATCGGTGAAGATCCCTATAGTCTATACTTCTTAAAGCTCCAAACTTCCTACATTGCCACCTCTCTCCACTTGAGAAGGATGAGTTGGAAAGTTGTTTTTGTTGTTTAGTGTCGTCGAGTCATAGGCGACTCATAGCGACCCTATGAACCAAAGTCCTCGATACTTGTATACATGACTTTTCATACTTTCTCCAGGTTCTTAGGGTTTCCCAAGGCAAGCTATTTACAGAAGTGGATGCCACTCCTACTTCCAAGCATGTTTCAACCGGGCAGTGCCACCAAACACTGTCCACCATGAGTAACCGTTATCGTATTTGACACATCAGTGTCACAGTGTTCAGCTTCACAGCGAACACACGTTGCCCCTGTACAGAAAGTGGACACACCAGGGCTATACGACCTAGAAGACTGAGCAAAAACAATGAAAAACAGACCTGAGGGCCACGAATTAGAGTCACCCACCTTTGGCTTGGTTGCATTGCTTTCCTTCCACTAGGCCAACTGGTATCTCTCTGTCTTGTTCAGTGCCGTCGACTCATAAGCGACTCATAGTGACCCTACGAACAAAAGTCCTCGACACTTGCATGTGTGACTTTTCATAACTCCAGTGAAAGAGGATATGGTGATCTACTGGGGAATAGGAAGACACAAGTCTGTGGGCAAGAAAAAGCTTGATCAAATTTTAAAATGATCTTTATAGTTAATTAAAGCAATAGTCCATGTGAATATGTACTTGAGATTTTTAAATACTTCCTCTCTGCTGTCTGAAGCTTCTCACTAAAGTCCCTACTTACAATCATAGTGTATTGGGATCTCACTGACACTGCTACTGTTGTAAATGATACCAAAACAAACAGGTGTTTCCACACCTAGGGAGGGTATCCGAGATGGTTGAGAATATCTCAGATGTCCATCACCTGTTGAGTGAATAAACAAAATGTGGTATATGTATACAATGGAATAGTACTCAGCCATAAAAAAAGGATAAAATACTGGGACATATTGGAGTATTAATTAATTTTTAGATGTGTGCTAAATAAAACAACCAAATAAGAAAAGACCACATACTGGGTGAACTCTACTGTTATGCTATGTATAGAAGAGGCAAACCAGAGACAGAGAAACTAGATTATTAGTTTTCTAGAACAAGAAGGAATGGAGAGTGGTGAATTGCTGGAGTGATAGCTAATGGATATGGGGTGGGGGGTGTTGGATGGAAAAAATGTACTAAGATTAAATCTGGTAATTTTTACATACCGTGTTCTGCCTCTCAGCTTTGTCCCCAAAGAATTACAGGGTCTGCCTTGATCAGCAGACTTCTAGGAGATGTAGGCATACCTCCTCTTTCCTGCCACACCACATTCTGCCTCTCAGCCTTGTCCCCAGGTTCATACTGGAGAGGGTTAAACCAGGCTGCTCCTTGGAGGCAAGGATTCTGAAGCTTCATCTGACATACTTTGGACATGTTGCAAGGGGGGACCAGTTTTTGGAGAGGGACGTCATGCTTGGGAGGGTGGAGGGACAGCACAGGAGAGGAAGACCCTCGATGAGATGGATTCATTCAGTGACTGGGGTAATGGGGATAGTGTGTCAGAGACAATAAGATTGGCACAGGATACAGCAGGGTTTAGGGATGTTGTACATAGGGTCACTATGAGTCGCAGGCAACTCGACGGCACATAACAACAGTGGTTGCATAACTGAATACACTAAAAAAAAACACTGAATCATACACAATAAATGGGCAAATTGTGAAATATGAGTTAAATCCCTATAATGTGGTTAACAAAAATAAGATCAAACAGGGTGGGGACCCCAGCCAATAGTATTCCTTAAGAATAAAGTCTTACAACCAGGAGAAGATAAAATAGATGAATAGGATCTTCTAAGAATCAAATCCCTGTGCACATCCAAAAACTTCTCCAACAGGGTAAAAACGGAAGCCACAGACTGGGAAAAAGTATTTGGTAATGACATGTCAGATAAAGGACTTATATCTAAAATTTATAAAATACTTGAGCACCACAACAAGATAAAGGTAAATGATCCAATTGAAAAATGGGCACAGAATATGAACAAACACTTCACCAAAGAAGATATTCAGATGGCCAACAAGCACATGAAGAAATGTTCAAAATCCCTAGCTCTAAGAGA